CAATCAACCTAAACAATGAGAACTCCGGGCCTAGCAACGGAGACTCTGCGGTGAGGGATTTATGAAGCACTCAGAAATGTCTTTGTCACACGGTAAAACCTGCCGAATCAACAGATTACATTCACAACTGTGTTGTTCACAGAGTCTCTGTTACAGTGAAAAGTACGAGTGAGTAGCAGCTCTTAAAGAGACAGAGACGCGGTTTTCAAACACGAAAATAATCCTCTTTAATAGAAAATGCTATTTACATCTGTGCAGCCAAAAACAGGTATAAAAACAGACGACACCGACGTCTGGACTTCATCGATTATTATGGTTGATTTCAGGAAAACACACACACACACAGAGAAAAAGAACAAAGTTAAATAAGTTCAACGTTTACAGTGACGTCCACACTGGAGGTTCGAAGGCTGGGCAGGAGCAGAGGGAAAATCTGACAGAGGAACCACATGTTTATGAAAACCACAGAGTGACTCACACAGAGGAAACACACACACACACACACATTCACTTTTTCTTTTTTTTTTATCTTTGCTTAAATTAAGTTGTTTTTTGTTTTTTTTCTCAAAACAGCATCACATTCCACGTCGGTGACACATCGCGAGGATGTTCCCACCACAGGAACAGGAACCAGGAACTGCACTGCTGCACATCGATGGGACGGGACTGGTTTTAGCCACTACTCCTCTGAGGTGCGGTTGAAGGAAAATACAAAAATCTTGGGGGTGGAGTTTGGACAAACACTGTTACGATCGGTCTGTAAACGCGACACTTTTTTAAACACCACAATTTATGAGAAAAGATATAAAATATTATTTTAACTTTCACCGGTGACATATTTACTGATGCAGGAGTTCTGTAGGCAGCACTGAGAACATCCAGGAAGACTAGGAAAAAACAAAGTTAATTTGACGCAGACCAGATGGAATTGTTCAGTTCCCTGAAAACAGTTCCTGGTACTGAACGTTGCTCATGTGCACAGAAAGTACTAGTTTTAGTCTGATGGTCCAGAGGCTCCTCTGGTCTCCAGGTAACTCCAGTGTAGTTCAGACGAACTCAGGGTCAGTTCTGGTCCAACAGTCTCTCGTCTTCATGGCGGGACGATGCCTCACGATACGACCACACTGTAGGAGGGGGCGGGGGTCTCGGGGGTTTTGTCTCTCGGCCGCTTTATGTTGTTTTCCACCATCAAGGTGCTTCCGCTCGATATCGTGTTGGTGACGGTTTGGCGGGAGTGGTGCATGGACGTGACGCATTCGCGGCAGCGTTTGCCGATCAGGTAGAGGATCTCAATAATGGACAGCAGGATGCAGAGCAGACTGGTGACCACCATGAAGAGGGTGAAGATCCTCTTCTCCGTGGGACGGGAGATGAAGCAGTCCACTTTGTTGGGACACGGCTTCTGCTCGCACTTGATCAGCGACGGGAAGTCGTAGCCTTCGTAGATGTGATACACCAGGTAGACGAAGGTGGCGTCCACGCCGATCTTGAAAACCAAAGTGAGGACGTACGTCCACCAGAGGCCGCCGCGCTTTTTACCCGGATTCTGATAGAGACGGCGGCAGTTTTCGCCATACTTCTCGCGGTTCCTCTTCTCCTTGTCCTCCCTGTAGGTCACGTGCATCACCACCAGGAGTGACGGGCAGGTGACGAAAATGAGCTGCAGCGCCCACAGCCGGATGTGGGACACGGGGAAGAAGTGGTCGTAGCAGACGTTGTGACACCCGGGTTGGGCCGTGTTGCACTTGAAGTCCTTCTGTTCGTCGCCCCAGACTTTCTCGGCCGCCACCACGAACACCATGACCCTGAAGAGGAAAACGATGGAGAGCCACACTCGGCCAAAGGCCGTGGAGTATTTGTTCACTCCGCTGAGGAGGCCCTGGAGGAACGACCAGTTCA